TAGCATGCAGCCCTAAGAACCCAGCTTGGTTCTCCACTGGAGAAAGTGGAGCGCTGGGCAGAAGGGGGCTCCTTGTGCAGCCGGAAGAGTTCTCTTCACAGGCAGCAAAGACGCATCTCCAGCTTGTATGGGGATGTGGGCTCCACGTTATATACACAGGCCCTCTTAGGGATTCCTTACTATAGCACATTCATGTCGGTTTACTTCCCATTTTAGCCCATAAATCATCTCTTTTTCACACTCCTGTCTTCCTAAAAATGGTTGAGAAATTATAAGACCCAAAGACACCATGCCTGGACTGGGGTTTCCTTCAGCGTCAGTCACTTTTGAATCAAGTACTTTTAGCTGCCGTCTTGCTATTTTTCTAAATTACTGTCTTCAGTAAATGCTTCAGTAAAACAGTCTTTTTATTATTCTGATGGAATTCAGCAAACGGTGTCTATGGGACTTCTGTTTTTGTGAAGTACTCTGTTGCCAGGATACCCGGGGTGAAGATGTCAAAAGACGACACACTGGAAGGACAAGCTATAGTGAATATCCCAGAACCAGCCCCTTGCATACTAATCATTCTGATTTACCCTATGCCGTTTCCATTTGCTATAGGAAAGATACTAGAGTCCAGAGTTTCTAAATAATAAACTATCCAGAGAACAGAAAACATGCATTATAAGGAGGGCAAGGTGTGCCTAATTCCCTCCTTTTTCCTTTTTTACCTTTCCTTTAAAATGTGGTACCAAGACCATTAGAGACAAATTCTGTGATTTCATTAATGCAAGTAAGGAGATGAAAGAGAAATAGATTTCTACGCTGACAATTCAGGAAGAATTTTAAATAGAGTGAAAAGGAAAAGAAAAGGATGAGAAGAATTAAAGTACTAACAACAACAGAAAGCCTCCATGGTCACCTAGTTATTTAAAAAGCATAGAATAAGCATTTTATTAACAAGTATTTTTCAAGCACCTTCTAGGTATATTACATGATACTAAAGAGGGCCTTCCTTAGACTTAAACTAGATGTATTTGAAATGAAATAGAGGTAAATTTCTATATCCAAATAAATAGAAAAAGAGAAAAGACAATTCTACAGGAGTTGAGACCGACTTGGTAGTAACTCCCAAGACTATAGCAGACAACAGATTATAAGTAACCAGAATGTGTCATGGGGTGGGAGGGACGATTGAACTTTGGACTGTCTCAATAATACTATCCTGATCACATGAAGGTATTGTACTCTTAGAATATGGGCTGGCCATGCTAGGTGACACATAACATGTCATGTTAACAGAGCCACGACATTTCAAGAACAATGCTAACTACATACATTCCAGATGAGGCCAACAAGTTTGGTAGAGATGAGGAGAAGGACTGAGCAGAGGGAAAATCCTAGAAACTACTCTATCAGAATGCCTATTAAAGAAACTGAGGATGCTTAAGCCAGAAGTTCACCATATTGCTTGAAAATGCTATTGACAGTGAAGAAATCACCAATACATCCATCTTGACCAAAAATTGCCTAGCCTCAAAAATAGCATTGCTCTGTCATCATTCAATGAGTAAAAACTGGAATATTCTATGTCCCAAAGAAAATTATTTGGCAGTCAAACCACTAAGTCAGCACGGGGGCTGGGATCTGACGGCCTCCTGCTCTCAGAGGTGCTATCCTGATCCAAGTCTGTGGTTCTGAGGGCGTCTTCTCTCTTGGCCAGGCGCTCTTTTCCTCACCAGAGAAGGAAAAAGACAACTGGGAGGGCTATTCTTCTCTGCAGGGAAGAGGTTTCTCGCTGCCAATGACAAGTTCAGGGAGAGCCACAGGAGTGGGGGCTGTCACTTTGGGCCTGAGCTTCTACCTCAAAGAGACACAAAGCGACCGCAGATCCTGAGCCCCCATGTACGGAAATCCACTCCAAGAGTCCTGCTCCATTTTACAATGCTCATCCAAAGAAGCTAACAGAATATAAAAATCATTCTTTTTAAAACTAAACCACCTTTTCCACAATTTGTCTCAAAATATGCTGCGAATACCTTAAATGTAGCCCACCTGAGACTGCTTAAGGTGTTTCTAAAGGAAGAAATTCCTGCCCTTCCTCCCTTCCTGCTGACAGCCTGGCTTTTAAAATAATTTGAATACAATGATGAACAAGAAAAGGGACCATCAAGACTTTCAGAAAAACATCAGGCCATGAAAAATAAAAATAATACAGTCAGCCTCTATTAACAACATGGCATATAAAAACACCAGAAGCCAGAATTTTTATACTGAAAAATTCAGATTAATTTATATACTAGCTAGACCAGCACATGTAAAGGTTAACTGCAATGATTATACTTAAAGAGTGCTTACTACATATTATTAAAATGAAAACAAATAACACAAAGTTAGTTGTGAACAGATAGCAGTATTTTAAAACAGCTTGTCAGCGCTTCAGTATGCATAAGGAACTTTAAAAGGTTCATGCCTTTGACCCTATAATTCCTCTTCCTTAATTTTCATTCTAAAGAAATAATCCCAAATAAAGACAAAAATTGATATTTCATTAATTTGAGACAAATGAAATCTAACATTTGAAGAATTATGTAAGTGCCACAAAATACATCACATTCAAACATGATAAAATTATAACATAGTATGAGCCAAAAAAAATTAAAAAGGTGGGGGGAATAAACAAATTGTAGAAATGTAACCAAATAAAACATGCCAAAACAGTGGTTGCATTTGAATGGTAGAAACACAGACAGTATTTCCCATAATAAACACGCACTGCACTGATGAGGAGGATTGGTAAGGGAAAGCCTGTTAAATGTGTTCACTCTCCTGTAGTTACCTTTATTCCACGTGAAGTAATAAATGGGTCACAGAAAAAGGAAAAAATACCATCTGGTTATGTCTAGACCTCTACATCTTGCAAATACGTGACAATGGTCACTTTACTGTAATTCACGTTTAACCAGCTGAAACCAACTGCCTCAGAATGGTTGTGTCTGTCCCAACTTTTAGTCTCGCCAACATGGAGATTTGCCACTTTTTAAAATTAATTTTCTTCTGTTACTGGAGACTGAAGCGCCAGAGAACTCACAAGACTTTCCACAGAAATAGCATGTTTCCAGAGGAAGCTGAGTTTGCTTCAAAAGAACACGAGAGAGAGGGGCTGGAGCCCAGAAAAGCATCAAAAGCCTCAACACGTGAAATACATTGAGAAACATCGAAAGTGCCCTGGAGGGTCCGGGTGCAATTATTACGTACCCCTGAGTGGAAATAATTGCCATGCTACGTTGAAAGTCAGCAATCCTGTGTCTTGTACTAGAATTACTCCTAATTCATTTCCTTCTTTACCCCCTAGCTCTCTTCAGTTAATTCTCTGCCCCATTTCCATCACAAAAACGTGTTTAAACTGCAGCGAGGTACAATCTAACCTTACCGTCACTTCAGGTGAAAAGATTTTGTCCTTACACAAACTTCTTAGCTCCCTGCTGGGTTTCATGCATACTTACGGGGGTTTTCACATATACATATATTGACACAGTTAATTCTCGTAAAAACTCGGAGATATTTCTACTCACTGTATGAGGAAGCTGAGACTCAGAGATTTTAAATTACTTTTTCATCGCTCACAGAAAATCCAGGGTGTAGAAGATTTTTAGCTCTAAATCTTATTTTTCTACTATACCACAGTGGATGTCCCCTGGATGAAATGTGTTCTGGGTTCGCTAGAAATCCTGTAACCACATCACTTATCATCCAGGTGGGGACAGTTTTTAGAGGGAAAGGATTATTGTTCATAATTGTGCACGGACAACTGGCATAAATTGGGACAAGTCAGAGAAAACTGAGGTAATTATCCCAACTAAGGTGAGAAAGGTACAAAATATAGCTGAGAGCCTCCGCCAGCCCACCACACACACAACCATGGGCTTAAGGAACGTGTTGCAACCTAACAAACAAAGTTGTCAGCTGAATGGAAGTCACTGGGCCATTGTTTGTCCCAAGAAACCATCCCTATGAGACCAGGGGCAGGGACAATTCAAGCAGCTCAGCCACTCAAATAATCTTACTTGAAAAGAAGCTGCACTGATGGACTATCATTAAAGACAAAAAGTTTGAAAAGGACTTCTAATCATTTCCAAAGGAGCAGGCTTCTACCAGACATAGAGGCCTCTGCCTCATAGTTATTTCTCGGTTAATATTTAAGTGCTAACAAATGTAACTTTCTGTACAAACGGCCTGTAACCAGTGCAATTTATATGTGCTTCCTTCTCCATCCCCTCTAGCTAAAAAGCACTGAAAACGCAAGTGAAAAACAACCAAAACACACTGCTGGCTCCGTTGGCTGAGTCTGAGGACAGTTCCAAGCCAGTGGTTGAATTTCAAAGGAAAATTTGCATCTCTTTCCTTCTACCTTCTCCGTTCTCATCAGCACATCAGAGCGCCTGGAATCAGCTAGGATTCTAAGTCAGGACAATATCCACAAATATACAAGTCGAAGCATCCCTCCCACATTGCCCTGGCCAAGGCTGACTGCAGTATGGTGTGGGGCAGCACAGAAGCAACCCTGGCCGGCTCTGAAGCTGAACGGACACGTGGACAGGGAATGCTGCCTGCCGCCTCAGTGCTAGAAGCGTCACCGCCATAGCACTGACCGACAGGTGAGCCTTGCGGTGGCGGGGGGGGGGGGTGGGATTCAGAACGGAGAGAAACAAGGAGCACGCTGGGCTTTGGATACTGGCCCCAGACACTTAAGCCGCATGTCTAAGGAATGATTTCCCTGAGCCAGACTCTTGCATCCTCCCATACATTGAAAAGCACTAAAATGATGAACTTGAGGTGTCAGTTCTTTGTGACTAACAGTAATCTTTTGATATTTAACTACATTGGGGGGGGGTGCAAAAAACTCCTATATATCCTGGCTCCTCCCTTAGCTCGTCAGAGCAGTCCCACAGAGCCCCGTGAGAGGCTGACTCCCCGCTACCATCACCAGTAAAATCCCCGAATAAAACTTAACTCACAACTTTTAGCTTGTGCAGTTTTCTTCAGTTGACAGACACCTCAAGGAAACTCTTCGACACCCAGTCCTCAAAGAGACGCTGGATACTGAACTGCCCTGGCTCCTGGCCTCTGAGTCAAGGGGGCGTTCCTTTCTAGCAGAAGAGCCAAATGAGTTTCAGGCTGAAACAGCTCAGGTGGCACCACTTTAAAAGCAAATGAACTACTGCCCATCAGGTAGGAGAGCTGAACCTGTGGCACGGGGCAGCCTGAGGGGATAAACGTGAGACGTAAAAAAGCCCCAGAGAGGGTGAGTTTCAGGAAAGCATACTTATCAGAGTTTAAAATTACCAGAAGAGACCAACACACGTTTTAGAAAAGTCTCTTGCAAAATCAAAACCAGTAATCCACGTTAAAGCGGGAATCTCTAACAGGATCTCCTACAGCTGAGGAAATTGGCTGGGTTGTCTTTAAATCTATAGGTATCCCTCGTTCCTGAAGAGCAGCTGTGTGCAGTCACTGTCCTGGAATAGCTGGTCCCCCTTCACTGAGCACTTTTGGGTTTGTTCCTATGTTTTCACTCATCACACCCATAATAGTGCATCAGAGGTAGGAACATCGCACAGTAGTCAAAGGCTGGAGTCCAGACTCAGAGTCCATGACTTCAAGTCCTGGTCCCACCTCTCATTAAATGTGTCTTTGCAGGTTTACATAATTGCTCTAGGTTTGTTTCTTGCACTTCAAAAGGTGGGGAAGGGGTAATAATGGTGCTTAGCACAGGGGGTGTGGAAAATTAAGTGAGTCAATATATGTGAAATGGTAGAATAGTGTCTGGCAAATAGCATACACCATGTGAGTGTTGATTATCATTATGGATAATAGAAACACATGAGTTGCTTCTCACAATTGGACAAATTATTCATGCTTCTTGCTGTTTTAAGCCCTCTTGTGAGGCAGCTAACAAGAATAAGTTAAATAAAATAGAATAGCATAATTTTCAAGCGTGAGCAAAAGAAATAAAAGCAAGGTTCTAAAATTAAGCAAGGATGTTTATTGTTTGTATTTTTTAAAATTTTGAATTGACCTCTCAAAGGAAAGACAGTAGTTGGACAGAGACATGGGGAAGTGCCACCCATCCTCACACATGATGTGCCATAGAGCAAATGCTGCAGTCTGTTCTTTCTTAAATCATTTTCAGGTTGGTGTGTCATTATTGCTTCCTTTGAAGTCAACATTTTTGCTGGCTTTCTTCTCTTTCCTTTGCATCAGATTCTTAATGCTTGTGCTAGAAATGTATAGCAGGGGTGAGCAACACACTACTAAAGAAAAGAGGCAGGAGGACGTGGAAGCTAAGAACAAAGGCAGACACAGAGCAAAAGGCAAAGAAGAGAATCAGGAAGCCTAAGGTGCTTACAGCACTCCTTGCCTGGCCCTAGAAAGATGTGCTCTGGCTACAGCAGAGTCCTCCGGGCCCCCCTGGATCTACAGGGAATTCCCAGCCTGACCTCTGCTTCCAATTAATACTGCCCATTAACATTTTCATCAGGTGATTCATTTGCTTTCTGTACATGGTAATGACCTCAGAGTTCTTCCTTGTCTTGGGAGAATTTATTCACCAAAAATGTCTGCTCCAGGAACCAATTAGGCAAGCACTGTCTTAAAGAATTTTCCCGTGGTTTGAATATGAGGATTAACTTCACTGTGGGTCATGTTTACGTGTCACATAAACCACAAAGTTATTGATATTCTAGAACTAGATGATTACAATAACAACTCCTGTTTAGATTCATGAAACTAGAGGGGATCTCTTAGAGATCACAGAATTCTGCTTCCTTATTTTACAGCTGAGATGAAGTGACCTTCCTCAGACCTCCTTACCCTGATCTTATTAGAGTAAGGGCTGATGCACAAAGGGAAATTTCTCATCAAAAGAGATTATTGGAACACAATGCATGATTTTTCTCATTTTTCAGTTTTGTCAGTTTCTGAGCATCTCTCCTGCTCTAAGCTGCTGTCTCGGGAGCTAGGTGTGTCAGAGTGTTTACTGCTGTGGCTCTGGGCGGGCCATTCGGGACCCACTGTGGGTTCCTTTCTGGCCACCTAGCTGCCATCTGTCAGTGTAGCCATTGTTATTTCTCATGAGAATCAGCTGTAACTTGAGACAAGTTGCCACTTGTCAGGGGGAAACCACATCACCAAGATTACTACATGGGGAAGCATAATCTTGTTTAAAATTTAATCAGTACATTCACGCTGAAGGGCCAGAAGCTAATTCTATACTTGGGTACATGAGATTTATGCCACCTATTTTTCTGACTTCTCAGAAACATGGTAGCAAAAGTAATGACCCCTGGAAATAGACTGCCTTGGTTACCAGCTATATGATCTGAAGCCAATCTCTCTAAGCCTCAGTTTCCTCACATGCAAATGGAGACTCTAACAATAGTACCTATGACATATGGTTATTGCAAAATGTAAATGAGATAAACTAAGTAAAGCACTAGTGCATGTAAGCATTAAGTAAAGCAAAAGAAGTATCTCAAGCCTGGGGAAATGACACACTCATTTCACATAATAAGGTAATTAAAAGAGATGCCACGCTGTCAGGGGATTCACCTTTGTAACGCGAGACTTCTGACTGTTGTTTTAGATATATCATTCTGAGAACAGACCACTGAGGGGCTTCTTCTCCCTCCCCTTCTGTACCCTCATGACGCAATGCTTTCATGGCTGCCACTTTCCCCCCAAAACATACTCCATTCAGCATAAAAAACCTGTATGGAGCAGAAAATGACTGATCTCCCATGTTTTGAAGCTGGACACAGGAAATGGCAGAAACTTAAGGGATGGGGAGTAAAGGAGTTAAAAGCACTGAGAAACTGTAGGGATTGTCATAGGGAAGAAGGAGGGAAGGACAGCCAGGTGTTCAACACCCCCAAGAATCTAGAATGCAACTTGTATGCAAATTGAATAGATTAAGGAATCTAGTTTTGCTTCATGGCGGGGGGGGGGGGGGTTTCGGAGAATACGTGTTTTCCCCGTCCCTACCTCCAATTTCTAGCAAATACTTGGATTTCTTCCATTTGGAAGTAGGGAGGGAGGAAGAAACGGGTACAGCAATTGGTGACCTTCATAGTATAGCTGATTCAGACAAGAATTATCAAACGATGGTAAAACAATTGGGGAAAAGGTTGATGGAAAACAGCATAGTTTGCAAACACTAATTACAAAGAAGAACGTGGTAATGTTACAGAGGATGCCTCATAACCACACAATCCAAGCTAACATTACCAACAATGAGACAGACATCGCATGCCTTCCGGGACAATGCATTAAGATGGACAGTATTACTTGCGTAATATTCCTTCCAAAAATGTACCATCTGAAAGCAGTCATGAGGAAAGAGACAAACACAAATCAATGGATATTTTACAAAACAACACAAGATAACTGAAGGCTGAGGAAATATTCCAGATTAAAATAGAGTAAAGAGAACAATGAGAGATCCTAGATTCAATTGTGGATCAAAAAAAATATGATATGTATAAGAGATTTGTTGAGATGACATCTAAACCTGAACTGTATATTAGAGCATTGTCAGCCGAGGGAGGCTGCAGAAGGATTCGAGGAGATGAGCTGCCCAACTGGAAGAAAGCACGAGGAGCCCACATGGAGCAAAACAGCAATTTATTGCAGCACAAGCAGGTGGTGTGCACACTCAGATGTGCACACTTATCCTTTTATGATGCTAGTGGCGCATGCGTATTGTTCCTAGTATTGTTCCTAATGCAGATTCATGCTACTGGCACATGCGTACATTGACCTCTTACCAGGTGCAAGCTATTGTGAACTTTGGCGTGGGCCCCATGGCCTACTCACTTAAGGCTGCTGACAAGAATATTATTATATTAACAGTAAGTTTCCCGAATCCCATCTTTATGGTGGGTAGGTAAAAGAACATACTTGTTTTCAAGAGAGACAGAAGTATTTAGCGGTAAAAGTTACGGCATCTCAAATCATTTAGCAAGTTTAATAAGAAGAAAGAGGAGGAGGAGAAAAGTATGTGCATGGAGAGGGCAGATAGAAAGAGGGAAATAAAGCAAAGATTGCAAAATGTTAACATGGGTGAATCTAGGTAAAGGGTGTATGGAAATTCATTATGTTATACTTGGACCTTTCTATAAATTTGAAATTTTTTCAAAATAAAACATTTTGTAAAACATTACAGAAAAATAGAGCAAGATATAAATATAGATATAGATGCCAAACACTAAGCTGATTGCAAGATGGATTTGCTACTGAAGGCACCATCTCATATTTCATTCGGGGTGCATGGCTGAGCTCCCATATTGTTGTGGGCTCCAAAGACGTGACCACGAATCATTGTGCTTTCACAACAAAGAAAGACTGCTGATTTTGTGAGGCCTTACTTCTTTTTGAATTTACTCAATTTTTTTTTTTTAGTAAAATTTCTCTTACGCAACCTACCAATCAGGAAGAATAGGTGACTGTTTAATTGTAAAAAGTCTATGAAAGCAGCAAACCGTTTTCAAAAATTATACGTATGTGGCTAAAATACTTCTTTTCCCTTGAAACTTTGTGTACTTTCTTTGAGTGGGTGTTTGCCAACTGGAGTTACACGTTGTCTTTCTCACATCAAGCACTCATACAACCCATACATCACCAATTATTTCCAGATTTAGTTTCTTTAAAGTGGAAAGTGCATTTCTTCTGGATGTTTACTTCTTTTCAATCATTTACAGGTGTCTCGCCCACTAATTTTACATAGACTTTTTAAGCACTTGACTTTATTGAGTTCTTCCAGAGAATTCAACTTATTTTTCATAGGGAAAAAACTCTTTCCTTGTATGTATCATCAGCTTATGTAATATTTCATTAAGGTCTACAATTACAGTCTGAAGAACTGGGCGGCAGAGACTTGGAAAAAAATGCAGTCAGCTCTCGGTTAGCACACAGCTCACCAAGGAAGCAGAAGCACAAGGGTGTGATGCTGGGTGGCCGACTGGCTGTATGCAGTCAGTGTCCACGGGCTTTGGCCTCCATGTGTTAGAGGCGACATGGGAGAGCACCAGTTAACTCTGCAGGGATTTGGGTGTCGCTAAGTAGAG